TTTTTTAAAATTTAGCTACGAATATCTATAACTTTTGATCAAATATTTTTACATAAAAGAAATTGTAACTAAACGTCACTGTTATTATTTAAAATCTATTTAGGATTAAACTCGTTAGCACAACGCATATATATTTCTTTTTTCTTATATTTTAAACTAAATATTAAATTTGTTTTTCAGCGAATGTACTATAATATAGCTATTGTAATATAGTGTACTATAATATAGCAATAATATCAGTGGCAACCACATTAAAAGAAGAAGTAAGGGCCTGCGATATATTGCCAGAATTATTTGAAATAATTGAAAATAATTTCTATAGGATTTTCAATATATTTCGTAATATAAATAATAATTATATAAATAATATAATAAATAAATAAAAAAAATAAGTGAAATTATTCTGACAATTTTGAAGAATTCAACATATAGGAACATGATACGAGTACATTATTCTTTTATTTTGGTACAGATACTGAAATCTATTAGGTACATTAGTGTACTTACAGTCATGTATATGAAGAAGTTGATATTGTAATTTTGACCCAATGTAAGCATTTTACATCATAAAATTGAAATAAGCCTCAACTGATAAGACAATAATCGATTGTACATTTTGCATAGCAACAAACTGTATCCACCTACGGAGGGCACATTTCATTCATCCCTTATCAATTGTCATAAGCCAGAGAGTTTCTTTCTATGTAAACACTTGCAGCTGTAAAAGAGCAAAATGACCTTGAAATTCTGATGAAATGGGTTCGACCGATAACACCTGCAAACTGCAACATATAGTTTTCTTTATTTTGATTTGTTAGCAAATTTGCATATATTTTGTATTGACGTTAAATTGATAATTAAAACAATATTTGCTCCCACCGTAAAATTGTTAATTAATTATTTTCCTTTCTTATCACTCAATATATAAATATATAATATAATATTATATTGTATGACTTGAATGATAGTTTTTCAACATGCGAGGAGTGTTCGAAAAGTTTTGCGCCCATCATACAAAGAGGTCTTTAATTCGTCGTATATATGTATGTAAGTAAGTGGACCTTTGTACAGCTGATGTCCTTTGTTGCTCGATCATAGTATAATATAGCTTATAATTTTAATTATACTTTATAAAAATTAAATAAATTAAATTAACAGGCTGTTTTCTTTACTCCACTATTTCCTAAGTGGTTATTATATCAAATAGCTCTCCAAAGTATTGGTCATAAAATCAAAAAAAAAATTTCCCTTGAAGCAAGCGTTTCATGGTGCGTTTCAATACTTTCTAAATATATTTTCTTGCATTTATTTGTATTGTTGCTAAAGAACAGAATATTGCCAAAAAACAATACAATTTCTGCTGTAGAGCAAAATATTATGGTTTATTCAGCAACTCTCGATTAAAAAAAAATATTGCTATATCTGTTAAAAAGATTGGAGTCGTAATTTAGCTGAAGATTTATTATAACAATTCTTCTGTTTCTATATATTTTATTTTAAAACTTCAAGTACCACTGCAATCCCTCTTCTCTTCTTATCCCTCTTCGTCCTTAAGCTAACATGAATATGACTTTCTTAATTTTTTAAAATTTCTTTCCAAAAAATCGTGTGTACAATATAGTAGATACAAACTATACTACACATGTTCTGGAATAAAATTTTAGTAACACCCTACGTATATACATTTACATATACTCTTGCATTACATAAAAGGTAATTTATTAAGTACCGGTAAAGGTCAGTTCGTTTTACGTCATTTAAATACGTAAGAGTTCAAAGTACATATTGAACGTAAACAATTTAAGAAACACGACTTTCCAATATGTAATATAATACACTAAAAAACAATAAAAATACAGTTAAACTTCCATAACTCAAAGTACCATTTTGCAATGAAAAAGTTCGGTTTATTGAGACTTCGAGTTAAAAGATTTTTTGTATTTGTATATAAGTAATTTGCCCATTAAATCCTGTTGCACTCTATTTAGATCGAGTTATAGAAAATTCTAGTTATAGAAATTCGAGTTGTGGTAGTTTGACTGAATCTTAAAAACTGCATCGATATCATTAAATTTGATCGATTATTTTTTACTTAAAATATGGTTGAAAATCTTTCTCTATATATTCGACCCGAATTACCGACCCGATATTAGAAAAATATCAATCAATTCATAGCTTTATTAGCATTAGGTGCTATATCCGTAATATAATTAATATATGTATTTACTACTATCATTTATTGACTACTAGAAAAATATTCCATTGAGACCTTTGGTTATATGTATACATTAATATATTTACGAGCAAAAGTTAATGGTTATTTTTTGTATTCTAACACAATCTGTCTTTCTTTCCTAATATTTATAACATATTATAAATAACACACCGTTATCCATATCGATGACTTTTAGTTAAGCTAAGTTTTTAAATTAAAATGAAGTTCAAATAATTGATGTTGAAACAAATTGTACATACAACACAACCTAATGTGGGCATATTGTTGTTGAAGCCGGTCGTAGGGCTCCCGCAATATCAACCACTTGCGCGTTCGCTGACATTCTTACTATAGCATTTTGTTGCAGTTAAGAGTACTGTCAGAGTTAAGGAACATAGGTATATGCTACTATTATAAATGAAGATAATCCGGAAATCGAAAATAAAAATCAATAATGAAAAACAAAGGCTCTGTTTATAACGTGTAAGTGGAGACAGAATCTGTCGAGAGTGAGAGTGGGTGATAGGTGATAAACTGGGAGGATAGCGTTAAATATCTCGGCATGACGTTGAAAAAACTAAGGTTCTGCTTATAACGCGGAAGTGGAGACAGAATTCGTCGAGAGTGATAGTGGGTGATATGGTGAAAAACTGGGAGGATAGCGTTAAATATCTCGGCATCATGTTGGACAAACGATTCACATGGCTTAAACATGTTCAACTGAAAAGAATTAGCTGTGCCAAAATTCTTTATAACCTCCAACCGCTATTCAGAAATGAAAGTCTCAATGCTAAGAACAGGAAACTGATATATAACCAAACAATTCGTCCGTCGCTTCTTTATGGTTGTGTAGCGTTTAACAAAGCTTTAAACACTACTATTCACCAGCTAGAAATTGCACAAAATTAGGCTCTGAGAAGATTTTTCAAAGTTCCATGGTACATTAGGACGAATGACATCCTCAGGGACATCAAGATTGATCCCATCAAAAAATACATAATGGATAGAGCCCTGAAATTATTTGCGAAAACTGACAGACTTACCAACACCGCGTTATCAAATCTTAGAATGGTTGCAGGCTCCTCGGGGAGGTATGCAGATCTGAATTCAATTATTGCTTAGTCTGATAAAGTGATAAACAATAATCTAGTCAAGGTGTAAAGAGAGGTTTTGAAAATACCTCGAGTTAAAAAAGAGTATAAGTTCTTAAGTGCACTAGCTCAAAACAGCTTCAACATAACATAAACATTATACTAGATCTATGATTTAAACTTGATTCTCATTGGAGAGATATGAGTTTTTACGATTCAAATATTTGGTTCTACTATATAAATACTGTATATAAATAGTATAAAGAGTACATTCATTTTACTTTTTTAATAGAGCTATACTGAAAAAGGAATAGTGAAAACATGATGATAGTGATTAAAATGTAATAAATCCATAAGGGGATATAATATATGCCGACGTTAAATTTGATACATGACCTTAACCTTAACCTAAGATACATACATTTTTCTCTATTACTGTATTCTCTATTACTTCTCTATCAAACGCATATACAATAACAATAATTTCTTTGTTAATTTTCATGACCATTATTTTAATGGTTCCGAATTATTATTAAATCTGTTGCATATCACATCATATCCGCATATCAGTGTGAAACTTTAGAATATTGAAAAATTATAGCAATTATATTTCCTGGTGCTACAGCAACCAGTTGCATCTTTCAAAATTCAATAGGACAACTCAGTACACCTATTTCTCCAATACGTTAAAATGAAATAAATATGTTTAACACGGAATCTAAATCATGTTGTGTGTTCATCATTTAAGCTAACAGAATATTTGTTTCTCATTCATCGATTCTGTTTTTTATAGTAGCCCAATTAAAAATGGATTCAATGGAGTAATGGATTCAAGGTTATTTAAAGGTGTGGTCATTTCGTTTTCGCTTCCTTTATTCGTTATGTGCTGTTAAAGGCGTTCTTTAATAAATCCTCCCTAAATTTTTTTTCTTTTACACGAAAATAATCGTATCTACGCATGTGCAATATGACTCACAATTAATATTACTACGCACCAGCCACTAGGACTGATGGACGGATTGTGAATTACCAATATAGAAAGTTATATATTTTAAAGCTTTATCGAAAAGTCACTGATACAGTATTTCTGAAGGACTCCAATAATTTTCATATCATTACGTTGCGTAGAGAGTGCCGTTTCGTTCCTATAGGCATTTATCTCTTTTTAACAAAATCATACTACATATTTATCCGACCTACTGGCTCCGAAATTATAATATTACGCATAGTACATACAACACAATCAAATACCGGTAGAGTAATTTGATTGGAGAAGTAAATAAAATCATACGATGAGAGAAGTGAAACCAGACAGTAACAACCAGTATGCATTTATGAGGATAGCAATGTATAACTATATCTCTATGCGTTCTACACTAGGGTCTTGCATATTCTGAGTTTCAATGGGTTCACTTTGTAGAGGGAAATAACTGTTTTTTGAACAGTCTATTGTCTTGCTCATTGAAGGCAAATCCACTGAATTAAGAATAGGGTTTAGTGAGGTAGATAATGCTATGTTGTGGCGTGTAATTCAATCCACAAACAACAATTAATGCCAGAAAATGTTTGTAATTTATATCTGTTATCTTAACCCTTTATTTAGGTTCCATATTTTAATCAGATGTATTAAGACAGTGTATTTCTTCTTTAGTATTATCATAATTTATTAAAATAAATTCGTTTGTATACGAATTCGTATCTATATTGAAGTCATGCTTAACAATTTGTTATAATAATTATTATGAAAAAAAATTCTTAAAACTTAAATGGATTAAATGGACTATTTCCCCCGTTCTAAGCAAAGCTTGTTTAATTTTTTTTTTTCTAAACGATGTAAAAGCGACGGAATTTCTAATCGGTCCTTGTCGTTGATAACTACTGCATCCGGCATACGAGTATAGCTACAGTCACTCCAGAAAACGCACCGCACTAGTAATGCTAGAATTAATTATATATTAAAATAAATAAATAAATTTAAAATTATTTTTTATTTTTTTTATAGTGTCATTACTAATTTTAATGAGATAATTCTATACAGCTTTGCATCAACAATCTAATTTTAATCAAAGAACTGTCGGGCTGTGAAGGAGCCTGCAATAATATTTTTGATTTTTTTATATAATTATAAAATAATATAAATATATAATATAAATAATATAAAAAAATAACATAAATTCATAGTGAATAATTTCACAAAATGTTAGGCCTGTCAGAAGACATATAGATTATTTAGCATTATTTCTAAAGATCCCAGAAACGCAAAATGCTGTAACGAAAAAAATTAAAGAAAATTATTGGTAAAAAAAAATTGTCGATCTTAAAGGTGTTTAATGGTACGCAGATATTTATAAATTGTTTATGAATAATTACACACATAGATGTAATACTACACATATATACATACATACCTATATGCCTTTTATGTTTAGAAATAAAATAAAGCGACGAACGTTTGAACCATCACTGGTATTATTTACTTACACCACATATCTACAAAGTCTTATATAAGAGACTAGTTTTTTTCATTTTTCATCTACAATCGGGGAAGCGCTATTCCAAATAAAGAAAAGGGCTATTATAAGGAATCAATATATTTAAATATATTTTTATCATCGTAATTATAATTTTGTTGTTAATTTTTTATTATTATTCTCTTTGATTTCGCAGAGTTGGAAGAAAAGCAATACGTGGAGACATGCATAAATAAAAATAATATTATGATGTATGAAATAAGAATTCATGTTAAGCACGGTGCAGACTTTCAGTTTTGACTAAAATGCCATGACTGTGAGTAAAACTGCAAGTCTGCACCCTTGAATTACACTCAACCAATATGCCATGCTCACCAAAATTTTAGCGAGTATTCCGTCAGTCAAGAGGATATTTTTGTGTGGTTACTGTCGTAGTAAGAGTGTGCACAAACATCCTTATTCTTCAAAAATTTTGCTTGACTGAAACATCTTGACTGTGAGCAAGTTCAAGTTCGGTCGCTAGAATTAATTTGAGCAAGACAGAGTGTAACCTGTTTGAGAGTCAAAACTGCAAGTCTGCACCGCGCTTTACGTTGTGTTCATTCGGGGAATTCTTAACTATCAATTTAATTTAATTAAAAATTACTGTTTCATATACATACATATGTATTATTTATTTACGCATACAGTTTTCGAAACAAATTATAATTTTTATCAGAAATCTTTAAACATTTATATCCAGCTCTAGAATAAAATCGCTGTAATATTAAATATTGAATTAAGATTCCACATTTTTTCATATAATAGCGGTATTTTTTATTTTGTTCAATTCATGTAATCATGTACTAACATTTACATACATATGTTCAGATCAGACTATATACAATTCCATACATAATCATATTAATTATATATAATGAGTCAAAACCATTTTTTCTCGGTTAAATTTAAATAAAATTTTAATTAATAATTACAACGTTTTTGCGAGGTCTCTTAGGGAGCGAGGTTCTCAGCGATCGCCAATGTTTCACGCCACTATTACAAACCGAAATATGTAATTAGTTCGTTAATCTAGTAATATAGTAAAAGTGAAGGGGGCAACAATAAATTATGTCTTGAATAAATGTATTTTATTGTTGACGTTTTGCTCTGCTACTATATTACTTGATTATCGAGCTCACTTTTCAAGATCGAAAATGGCACTATTTCAACTCAGAATACTCGATTTCTGATTATCGAGAACTCGATAATTCGATATGCAATCATATTTGTTTTTATGCGGCCATTTGAAAAAAACAAATTCTGCGCAACAGTTAACAGAATAGAAAGTTAATGAGCATGGTTTAAATACTTATACAGTATACGCTCGATTATCTGATTACTCGATTATGTGAATAACCCCTTGAAAAAAAATTTAACAAATGCCATTCTATAGAGTGAACTAGGTATTGATTCGAATACATTACATTCAGTATATTGCAGACATAACCACTTACTGGTTGTAGCATTACTGTAGTTAAAGTTAAAACTTGAATAACTTTAGCAGTGACTTCCAATATTCGGCAGATACAGTTAGGAGATGGGATACCTCCATTGATATTGATAATGATTATGTTGACAAAAATGTCAATGAATAGCAAGTCATGCAAACTATTGGTTCAATAAAAGCTTTGGCGGCTTTAATATCTTTAGCGCTTAAAAAGTAGACAGTTTCGCTATCACAGACTTATGGCTATTGAAAAAATGTTAGAAGAATTCAGAATCTTCTGACCAATATACCTGTTCGAAAGAAACTATTAAGGAAAAAAACTAATTGTATTGCCAAAAAATGATTGGCAAGAGTTAAAAAAGCACAGCTAAAGCTTGTTTATGAAAAACAAAAATTTTATAAAATAGCTAAATATTTTAAATAAGTAATAAATTCGTTAAATACCACATATGTAGAATAAATAATGTTTTAACAGTTACTTTATTTTAGAGATTAATCTCATTTCAATAAACAATAAACTTTTTTACTAATAGTTCACATAATTGAGACCGTGCTATATGTGATCTGTCTATACAGTAATTTAAAATAATTGGCGACTATTAACTTGACACAGCGGCTTTAGTAAACGATATTAAGAGGTTTTGTACACGATTGCAGGATATTGTAGTCAGTGATACTTTGAAGGGTTTTAAGGTACTAACTGTCTATAAGAATATAGGAAACAAATACACTATTCAATCGGACAAACCATTGTATCCTGTTATGTATTTAATGCACACATTGAATATATTGAATAGATGCTTCAGGTTTTAAATCAATTTAGATTGAAGTAGACACCCAGACGAGTATTTTTCTAGATATGTTTTGACTTGTCCAGTTCTCTCATTTCCCCATCTGCAATATTTGATTCTTTATATGATTCTCTGGTCTTATTTGACCAAATCATCGGAGGTGGAAGTCTGGCAACTTAGCTCCAAACGGGATGACTTTACTATTGTAAGATATATACTTATCAAGTTGTTTCACTCACACTTACATTCGAATGAAAAAGTAGCGCCTCCAAGCACGCGGTCCTTTCGGGCGTCCTTCTGGTCAACGTATGAACAATGCCAATCCGTGGTATCACAACATATAGCTCAATTAGGATTTGGTGTACAAGACCGCCACTCCAACCCAACCTAATTTCTGTAAATGCCTTTATTTAAAATAAAGTATGTATTTATATGAAAAAGTTGTATTCATTTGGAGCTAAAAATATATAAATTAAAATGTTTACTAAATGAATAGGACAGTAGTTTAGTCTTCTAAATATTTTACAAAAAGTGATCTTATCTCACTATATAAACTACCAAGAGTGAATTTTGCTTCCCAAAGATGTTTTATCTACAGTTTTGCGTTTCGATAGTTCTTGTTTACAGAATGAAATTTTAATTCGTTATAATTTCGGAAGATTGTTTTTAACTTTTTGAGTTCTTATACGGTAGCACAATGGGTCAATAGGCCAAAGTGGATTCTCACGATCGCCGGTATAACCCAACCTAACTTAGTTTAAAGAGAAGTCTCAGAAAATTTAGTTGTTTTTCTAAATGCTGTAATAAATTGATGTTTTATTAATGTAAAATAATACTAACCACGCAAATATTAATAATAATAAAATAATTTTAATAAGATAAGGTGTTTATCGCTTTTTAAAAATGGTATGTCAAAGGTTTTCGGCTATTCTCATTTATTATTGTGTGCCTAATAAATGTCAAATCAAAGTTTTTGATTTCAAAAAAGTGTTTTCACTTAGAATTATAATTATCCAAAACTGTCCTTGACAGTCTTAGTTGATTGCTCTTAATGGCTGTGTGGTATTAAGATATCTTCCATTACTTCTAATATATAAGAAATAACTTTATTTGATTAGATATTTTGCGCATTAAGATTTATTTTTATAAAATTTATTTAATATAAACATATTTTTCTGTTATCGGATACAATAAATTGACTTGTAGTCACGAAAAGAGTGCTAGAGTATTGATTTGTTTCAATGTTCGTGCTTTCCCTTATTGTTTGAAATTATAGAATTTAGTTTCCAACACATTTTCAATTATGTATTTTATTTTGGTAATTATTACAAATTTTACAACAGAGATACAAACTTATCTTAAGAGATCTCTAGCTCTATTTATAAAATTTATATTTTTTAATATATTTTAATGAGGTCAAATAGTGACGCGGATCCTTATTATATTTTAAATTATATAAATGTTATGTGTACAGTGTAATTGTTTTAAATATGCATTTCCTAAAAAATTAATTTTTAAGTCTAAGTAATAAAATATTTATTAGCACATAAATATTTATTAACAACTAATTGTGTCATGATACACAATAAGTTGCGTATAACCAATATTATTTCCTATTTATTTCAGTTATCTCTTTAAGTTTGAAAAGTTTAAATTAGTATAAAAAATGCATGTGAAAAGAGCTATTTTTTTTTATAATAAACACAAATTTGTTTTAATTTATTTACATCAATAACATAACGATTATACCTTCAAGCGGTTATTCGTAGACAACACACTATTATTCTTGGTTTTGTTTTCTAACCCACTGGCATTGAAAAATCTTGAACTTGACCTGCTGCTTTTAAGCTCTTGGTACTTATTTTGACGTTTACACACTGGAATAGGAATAGTGTTGTAACATATATGTATATGGTATACCTGGTATATATGCAGTTGTTCAACAATTTTCCGACATAATTGCGAAATTTTCCAATTGGGCATATTGGGCATTTGTAGAGAGTAAGTGTAGAGAGAAAGAGAGAGAGAGTGAGAAAGTTACTTGCTGCTTGTTGTTGTTGTTGTTTTTTTGTTTGATATTTTGCATTATAAATTTTGGTTGGATGAATAAGATGAGGTGATCTGTTTGCTGAAAACAATGTATTGATGTATGTGTTAGCACATGTTGGGTTGATGTAAAAGTAGTAAAAGGGCTTGCAAAAGAAAACAAATTTAAAAGAAATCAACTGATACACAGTGGGCGAAAATAATCAACTAAATGCAATCAATTTATTAAATTTAAAAACTGTATGCCATGACAGTACTCATATATATATATATACATATATATATATTTTAATTTTTTTTCTTGTTTTTATAAAATTAAATTAAAAATTTTATTTTATGTTTAATTTTTTTAAAATATAATTTGTTTAGAATTGAATATATACGTGATTATATACATACATATGTATAATTAATATGTACATAAAATTTGGACTACGAGTGCCAATTATATAATAAAAAAATTTAATTAAAAATTATTTAATTCAATTTCGCAAACAAATAGTAACTTAATTGTATAATATGCAACATTAAAAACACATACATACATATATTCATATGTATATATGTATTTTTACGTATTTATATATGTATGCAATGATTACAAAATAACTGCACCTTATGGCATTTCCTTGCTATATAAATTTAAAATTATTTTAAATGTTTCCAAATTGCTTTTATTCTCATATAAATCTTCTCAACATACTATATACATATGTATGTACATACATATATATATACGTATATGACGATTTTTTAAATGTGTGTTTACTTACATCCCCACATACAGATATTTATGTGTGTGTATAATTATTATGATCTTAACATATGATCTTTTTTTAACATAATGACGCATGTATGTATGTATGTAGTTAATTTATATTTTTATTTGCAAAAAAAAATTCTTGCTATTATTTATTTATTTATTTTTGTAGTGTATTAAGTATATGCTTTTTATTGCACTATCTTAAAAACAAACTTAAAAGCTAACAATATATTCTTTAAAGTATAATTTATATAGAATGTTATTTACCAAGAATAAATTAATATTATAAATATTATTACAAATTTTGTAATCGTGTCTGAAATGACCTTTCGCTTAAAGCAACGCCGTGGACAGTATTCTTACGATTTGTGATAATTCAGAAAAATGTTCATATGCAGCATTACTATTAAAATTCGCTTATAGCAATGTCATCCAGATTGGCAATTTTAATATCACATTTCAGTTATTTGTTGTAGCAGCGGTTAAGAGAGATTTTAGCAAACTCCTTTCAAATGAAGCATCACAGAGAGCCAACGGTGGAGATAAGAACAAACAAAATATCTTCACTGTGTGAGAATTTGTTTTTGCAAATGAAATATGTATAAGAAGAAAAAAAGGAAAAAATATAATTTCTAAGAAATGTTTAATGAGATAAAACACAATACGTTTTTTTTTTGTTTGCGACTAGTTTGTCTTTTTTTTTTTTGTAATTTGTATTATGTTTTCGAGTATAAATTTACTTACATACATATGTATGCACATAACTAAACAAAACTTTCTCATAACTTTTGCTATTTTTATTATTATAGCAAACATTATTTCACCATGTAAAAGGGTTGAGGATATCTTTTGTTGGTCTATTTATTTACTGTGTACTGTTAAATCATTCATTTTAAGTAGTTCATTATTATGAGCCGCCTTACATTATAATTACTTTAAGTTAAGAGCAAGCTGTAGTAATTCTGTGTAAAATTGATTAACATTGACTTTAACAGCAAAGTAAACTCGAGTTTCAAATAGGATTAAAAATGTAATATAAAATAAAATATATTATATATGTATGTACATACATATATAAAAAAAAGTAAAAGTTTATTGAATAGAGAGTTATCTAATTAGGTTCAAGTTTGTTTCTCTGTTTGCCACATCTCTATGCGGGGTTGGAATATCTCAAGACGCTAGGATCTTTTATTCTGTGTTGTCAAATTGCTCCTTTAATTCCCACGACCATTTAGGCTAGTTTTGGATCTCATCTTGATATTTTATATCACTTCCAGCTCTTCTCAGAATGTGACTTTCGTGTGGCACTGAACACTTAACGTGTTCAAAGAACTTCAATCTGCTTTTTAAATGCTCCTCATACATACATACATAACACTTCGTTCGATAATGTGTGTGACTGACACATAGATGGCGGCACTAATACTAAATAAATATTTTTTTTCGAAAGTGGCAACCTATTTAGGCTTACTGTCAAAATTATATGTTAATCCGACCATTTGTTTACAAGTTACAGTGCTTTAAGTGAAGCTACTTTTGAGTTTTCAAACAAAAATAAATTCAAAGCAATTCCGTGTGCTGATTTATCATTGTTTTTTAATGAAAAAAAATACTGTTCAATGCCAGGAATGGCTTGAAAAACATTATTCGGACTCTGCTTCATCAAAAAGAAGCATTTGTTATTGGTATGCCGAATTCAAACGTGGTCGTACAGACACCGATGACATTCCGTCTACTGGACGGCCAAATGATGCTGTTATTCCAGAGAACGTTGAAAAAACACTGAAAATCATTATGTCCGACCGTAAAGTGAAAGTGAGGGAGATTGCTGACATTCTACAGATATCAGCAGGCAGTGTACACACCATAATACACGAACATTTGGGTATGAAAAAGGTGTTTTCCAAATGGGTGCCGCGTTTGCTACTGGCTCTTCGCAGACCTCAAAAAGATGCTCCGTGGTAAGAGATTTGACTCAAATGATGAAGTAATCGCCAAAACTAACGCCTATTTTGAAGGCAAAGAAAAATCGTTTTACAAAGGCGGTATCGAAAGATTGCAAAAGCGTTGGAATGATGTTGGAACATTAGGCAATTTCTATTATTTTAAGAAGGATCTATAGACAAATTACGATGAGTTATTCTGAAAAATAAAAAATGTTTGTTAGTAGGAAAATTTCCATTACACTTCAAAGATTTTAATAGGATTTTTTATGAGTAATATTACATGTAGTTGAAAATATACATATAAATATAAACATATAGTTTCAATATAATTAGAATAACTTATAAAAGTTTATGTTGTTGTAGCCAGGTTGGAAAACAGATCTTATTGATTTGTACATTTTCTTTTTTTTTTTGATCAGTAAAAGTCCGACTTACTTATGGTGGGACAGTGGAACAGCGCACCGTCCAACAAGTGGCCCCACTGAAGTGAAGGATTAGTAGTAGACCACGAAACTACTTGGGTCCTTTTTCGTCCTTCTATTCTCGGATTTCGTTATTGGATTAAAGCTGGAGTGGCTTCTGTTCGCATAACTACATCTATTGTTAATGCAAGCATCTCATTTAGCTTGAGGTGGCCTGCCAACTCATCACCAACCCAATGGTGTCCCAAGACAGTCTTCCTTCTACTTACCAGTGCTGGACATTAGCACAATATAAGCACCGCTGTCTCCACGTGTCTTCGTCAACAAGAGTTATTTTTTTGAGGTGATACTTAAAGTTGCTATGTCCAACACAGTAATTAGTGAGATCAGCCAGCTTAGGGTGTTCAGCGGTTAGTTAAGCACTTTTATCGCTTCCCTGACCCACGGTTTCAGCAACATGAGTTTAGTCTGTCTACAAGTGCTCAACTCCCTCCATCTGTTGAAGTGAGGTTATCCATTTATAGACATAGGCTGTCATCATGTTGTAACCCAATTCTGGGCCACAGTAGTTATGGCTTGATCCTTGTTTTGCATGAGCACATTCCATGAGCTTGGTTACACATTCTTGAACTAAGCTGCTAGCTATGTATGTTTTTTGCATGCTTTTGATAACTGCTTGATTGTCCAGCACTATCAGTATGTGAGATGGACATTAGTTCCGCCTGATAGACGGGAACATATATTCCTAGATGTAGAGTGCACGTCAGATTTAGCTCTTTCGAGTAAACCCCAGCACCAGCTCTGCCATCCATGAAGGAGCCATCGATAAAGATGCAGATGTCATTCCCCTCACTTTCATTATGTAGAAGGCCGTCTACTATCAGTGTTCTATAGGACACTTCTGTCCCATAAGCTCTCCTCATAGTCTCCAATGTCATCTACGTTTTCTTGACCGAGGTCTGGACGAGGTCAAGTATTTTCCGATGATCCACCAATTTTCCGAAGTTGTTCCATGTGGAACAAATTGCTGCCAGTGCTGCCGTTTTCTTTATATATAAATCCAATGGAAGCAAACCTAGCATCGCCTCTAACGCCACACAGTGTGACAAAACACAAAATTAGGCGGTCAAAATACGATATTTTCGGAACCAGTAGAGATATTGATACGAAATTTTCCTAAAAAATAGTTTTTGAGATGATCATTCCTTTAAATCTAATTTGAGCCCAATCGGCCTACCGAAACCCCCCGAATGACTTTGCTTATGTGTAATCCTCCTTTCCTGGCTTTGGTAGAAAAGTCACCCTTGACTCTCTCCAAGCTTTAGGGACGTACCTTATTGCCAGTGACGTCCTGAATATCTCCGTGAGCCTAACTCCGAGCAGGTCAATTCCTCATCGCAGGAGTGCTGGAAATATGCCATCCAACCCCGGTGACTTAAATGGATCGAATTTCAAGATGGCATTCCTAACTGCATTTGTGGTCACTATTCGTTCTGCGTAAAATCTTTCTTCTCTGTTCATTCTCCTTTTAAGAGAAGGACAGTGATCATCAAATTTGAAACTTCTTGGAAAATAGGTCTTTATGAGAGTACTCAATGACTCTCTCACGGTCTCCGTCATTGTATCATCCTTCTTTCGGATTAAACCAAGTCTTGAGACCGGGTCTTTGGTGACCATCTTTTGTAACCGACTTACTTTAGAGGTCCCTTCCATGCTCGAACAGAAATTCCGCCACGACTCCCGTTTTCGGTTGCGTAGTACTTTCTTCAATTCACGCTTTTTTGCATTGTACAGATCCCATGATACGGAGTTCTTCTTCCTTATGTATTTATTAAAGGCATTTCTTGTCTCCTTTTTTATTGCATCAAGGTCCTGATTCTACCAGGGTGTCGACGACTTTTCTGCAATGCTGGTTTGGGGACAAGCGTTTTCGAATGCATTAATCATCGCAGCAGTAATTGCTTTGACTTCTGTCTCTACATTCCGTGTAGTCTTAAGTTTCCTCAGCGGCCTGTTTTGTAATAATTCCTTGAACAATGTAAAGTATGTTACCTGGTCCGTATTCTTTAATTGTAAAGTCCGACTTAAATTGTAAACAAAACGTAATAGCCGGGGTATTGAACCAAGTACTGATAGAGCCTTGTAACAGTTTTACAGAACATTGAATATAGTCCAACTAGGGCTTTATTATCTTTAAACTACTTTGAAGTTTTAAACAAATTTTTTTTAAGTTCTTAAGAGCAGACTCAGTAAACATATAGACATAGACACAATAATCAATATTGAACATATTACCCTTAAAAATATAATGACAAATCGAATTTTATAGCATGATTAAGTGTGATTGCAACAGGAAATGTTAATAACATAAATTATTACATATTTCTACGTAATTCTGTAAAATAAAATCTATAGCATTCTTATAAGGAAATTAATTTTCTTAATTGATTTTTTGTTTAGGAATTATTTTTGCCGTTATATGTACATATGAATGCCATAATAAGTCATAGAAAATTTAACTCTATTAAAACAATTATAATATTAAGAATAATATTATTTAAATTAATCCAATTATTCAATTATAATTATTTACATACATAAATAAAACTAATTCAAATAGTTATAAATAATTATAAATTATGAAAAGTTCTAAACCTGTCCCAATAATAAATGTTATCACCTTAAACATAATTTGATAATATAAATTTGAATAAATGAACAGTTATTATTTTAAGGTAGTCTTTAAAAAAATATTATTTTTTTAATATTAATATACTTATTTTGTATGTAATAACCTAAATATATTAAAACTATGCACAAGTAAATGTGAACATAACACATAAGACTTTGAACAGAAATCAAAAACTCTTAATATTTCTCTTAAAAAAATAAATACAACAGTACTACGAGCAACAGTAAATAAGTATGCTTCTATTGAAAAACTAATAATTGCATCCCAACACAGAAGAAAAGAGAACAAAACGCAAAAGAGAAAACGCGTTCACCCATTCATACAAATCTGTAAGAATAGAAGAGCACAGAAGTCATGTGTTTGTTGTGTGCTACAAAGTGAAATGTTTTTTTCTTTTGTTTTGTCTGCTGTTTTGCCGGCTGTACTGTAATTTTTGGGGGTTTAAATGCGATGAAGCTTTTGCAGACGAGAATTAGTCTGTATTGACAGTTTATAAAGACAAGACGTTGCAATAATTGGGTCGTTGTTGCCAGTAAATGAAAGTCAGTGTACCACATTTATTTAGATAATAAAATATTAGTTATAAAAATATACATACATACCATATGTATTAAAAAATTAATGAATAAATAACAATTTCAATTGAATTACTTTAAAACGGTATTTGGATTTTTTTCTATTGCAAGTAAAAAAATCTAATCTGCAAAGTGAGTTTTTAATGCGGTTTTTGATATAAAAAAATATATGCTGAAAATTTAAGCATAAAGTGTTAAATTACTAACAAATAATATTTCTAAGCAAAGAATAAGGACAGTTGCTGTTAAGAAAGTGTAATAAAAGTGCTAACAAAATAAAGAACTCGTGCGGAAATCTCTGTACTAACCAACACAAATAAGAAATACTAACAAATTTCGTTTTGGTCCTAGAAATCACTACGGTCCATACAAAGCTATAGTTAACAAATTTAACATTGTCCGCAAATTTTTGCAGAGCGTTCGTTAGTGTCTCCTTGCGCGACACCGTTCTCCTTTAAAGACAAACTAAAAAAGTTTGTCGGCTTTTTGTTCATACAAGACGCCGCAAAAGCAGAAAGAGGACGTTTCGCAAAAATCGCCTGATTTTTGGTATGTATGTGTGTGGGGAGAAATGTAAAAGTATTTTTGTCGTGTTCTTGTGTGTTTGGGCAGAAGAAGTGTAAAATATGGAGGTAAAGGATCTATGTAAAAAAAAACAGTGAAGTAGATTTTATTTAGAGAAAAGGGTCTGTTTATGCAAATGAATGAATATATGTATGTTAAAAGATAAAATGTTTAATTTTTCCTTTAACTTAATTATTATATTATATTGTTTTATATATATACGATATATATATATATATACGATATATATATATATATATATATATATATATATATATATAATAATATATACGATAATAATTTTTAAAAATAAAAAATTTTTATTGCATTGCTTTCTGTTATATTTAAAATAAAAATGGCTATGATGGCAACTAAATTATTAATACAATTTTATACATAATAAATTCTGTAGGAAAATAAAAAAAAAAACTTCAGTTTATAATAATGTGTCATGTAAGTTACTTATTGCCCCCCACTTTTTCATGTAAATCAATTTATAAAAAAAAATGGACTACCAAATGTATTTGTTTGTATTTAAGTTTCTTCTTTGCTTATTCTACTAGCTTAGTAAACAAAACAAACAAAATACAAAATACAGTTCAATAACTAAGAAAAGAAATCCCGTTATATTAAATTAACATTAACATTTTACATCGTTTTTATTTTTTGCCTCATCTTTTTATTTTCGTTTAAAGATTTATACTTCGAATTATTTTCTAATTTAATAATAGCAGCGAAAATGTCATTAAGTTCGCTCAGAAATATGGCTTCTGTCATTTATAAAATTTTCTTTCAGTTTACAAGACCGTAAGTCTTCTCAATTATACAAAACAATTTGCCCCTACCAATTTTTATGTTTGAAATTGATTAATTTTTTTTTATAAGCATGTACGAACATACGTATATATATAAATAAAACGTATATATTAAAAAAAAATGCTGTTTGGTTTTGCACAGTTTGATCCTTTAGTGTTGTTCGCCTTATTAACGCAGCCTGCATGACGTACGCACCCGCCCAAACACACCACATACTCACTTTTCCCCAGCACAAAACTTGGTTGTTTAGCTATTGTTAGTAAGAAATTATTCATTTCTGTAGAATTTTTGTTGTGTAGTACTGCTTTATTTTACTTTTCGTTTACTTTTCACGGTTAAAAATTTATGGCGTGATACATTGAGTCATTTCAATTGTTTTATTTCTATAAATATTACATGTTAAAATTATTGTTTATTTTTTTTTTATTTTATTTCCATTTGATTGTAAATAAATGTCAGCTGAAAACGCTTTATAGTTCAAATGTTATCTTTATCTTAAATGTTGTATAATATATATGTATTTAATTTGATATATTTGATTTGTATAAAATACAAAATGTTTATATTTAACATGCAAATACTTTGTTAAGGAGCTTGTTATGTATTTTAAAAATACATATTTTTCTGATATTGATGAATATATATATATATATATATATATATATATATATATATATAATTATATATATATATATATATATATATGTATATATTATTTATATAGACTTGCTTGTATGTATATTTACATAAATAAATTGAAGAACGAACTCAGTTATTTTCGTTATATTGAGTGACTTGAACACCTTTTCATATTTTGTTTACCCCTTTTGTATTTTCTATTCAACATTTTTCGCAAGGTTAAAGGAGAATAATACAGCAACAAAAATAGCATAGTGTAAGCTTGTGTTTAAGAAAGGACATACCACACATACGTCGCACTCTTGCATATTTTGTCGCGTTGCCCGTCAAGTTAACGAAATGCCACAACTCTGTAATTTTCAAGCTGACATTTTAACATTTATTTTTACTTTCAGACATTTTAAAGAAAATAAAGTTAGTGAAATCTTTTTTGATTGACTTACAGTTAGATAATGTCGATCTATCAACGTTTCGAAATTTTAGAGACTTCGGAATCAATTGAATGTCAATGCAAATGCATTATCCTTTCAATTTAGCTTTCTTTAAATAAATTCGTTAATTGTCTACCATTAAATATTAAGTAAATTAATTTAATTTTATTACATAAAAAAATAATTTATAAATATTTATTATTAAAATTTGCAACAAAATAAATAAACGAAAAGTAAATTTATTGAATGCGAAATTTACGCAAATTATTAAAAATCATTTATTATTATGTAGAGAAAGACATAATCGTTTTGTAAAATATAATTAATCACAAATATTACAAAGAGACTTATTTTTTTTTTATTAGTTTCTTCATTTCAAATTCACAAAGTCAATGAACTTATCTTAGTTTCGTTTTTCGCTTTTTTTAAATATTTAAAGTTGTTGCAAAATAACTAACAAAGGAGAAAAAAATAAAAAATAAAATTATGTTTGTTTTTAATTTTGCTCATTATTTTTTGTTATTTCAACTTTGAGAAAATTAAAGTATGTTAGGGAAATTTTGCAATTTCTCATTAACAGTTTTCGAATATTAAAATTTTTCAAAGTCTCGAGCCTCTGCATTTGTTTTACTGACCACGGCAACAAATATTGTTTCATCAGCACTTCTTAACAATAACGTCATATATTTATACTTATGTGTATATTTTTTATATATTATATTGTTTAAGTTTGCAATACAAGAAGGAAAGGCAGTACATTTTTTTAAACAAAAATTTTGTATACACATAATTTTAAATAATTTTTTTACAAACCACACAAAACTTGCATACAATTTTGTTGGCATGGAAATAAGAATAATAATGCTATCAATATATATTCGCTAATTGGTATTTACAAAATCTCTCTTAAATTCCTTAAGAATAACATAAATTGTTTTAATACAATGTTTGTTTGTTTTTTTTTGTTTATAAAAACTACAACAACTGATGAGTAAAGAAATAAAAACCAAATTCTCAGGAACTTCTCGTACACATGCTGTTAAATTGTTTAAACTATTTCTATATATTATAATCACAATAGTAACAACAACAATAACAGCAACAAAAATAACATTAGCATTGGAAGCGGCAGCGGCAGCAATAACAACAACACCAGCAACAACAATCGCAATCATAATAAAAGCATGCGATCATACGATTTTTCTGCTGTCTGGTCTGCTTTACTAATTGATCACGCTTATCTGCTTCTACGTACGCGTGAAATAAACTTTCAGCACGGTTTGGCGTTTTTTCTTAAACTTAACTACTATGGTACTATAATGTATAAGAATATGTTTATGTGTGTGTGTACTCGAACATACATATGTATGTATATGTACGTATATTAACAATTAAGTAAAACTTAAAAAAATATTAAAAGAAAAAAGCAATAAATTTCAAAACATTTATAATACTCTACTCTAAAATAGTAATTAAAAATATTAAAAATATTTAATATAACTAATATTTTATAAAATTTTTTACAATTACAATTTTTTTCTATACTGACTTTATTTTGTGTAATTTACAAACTAAAGTTCTCAATTCCCATTTTGATATTAAAAAAATATTTATAATGTACCTTTTTTGAAAATTTAACAGTTCATTTTTCATTTTACATGTTGTGCGTTGTGCTAAATGTCTCTGCTCAGCTGTTGATTACATCAGCGCAATAATTACCGATAACAGAGTCAACACGTCATGTTTCAGTTTTGCTTAGTATAACTTTTTAGCTCCTTCCTTATCATTGACATTGAACTTGCTTCGATCGATGCATTTTATAATTACATTTTTACACAAAAAATAAGAAAATTTTTGTGCTAAGCAAATAAATAATATATATTTTGCATAAACTTTTTGTACTTTCTATAACAGCATTCTCTCTCTTACTGTCTTGCAGCATTAACATATATTAGTAGTTTATGCTAAGATTAGTTAATGAAGTAAAATTAGATTTAACTCTTATTTAGTTAACATTGAACTTGTATTTTTAAAGTAATATTTTCATAATAACCGATTTTGGTTTCATTAAATTACATTTGATTAATAGCGAACACAGCTGATACCATTTGTAGACATGTAAATAATATTTTTTAACAACGTGAATATATCACCAAATTGTCGACTCAGTGATTCTCAAGTAATGAATTATGTTGAACAAAGAAAAAAAATCTTTTCAGAATTTAAAATGTGAAATTTTTCATATTTTAAACACATTTTTGCGATTGAATAAATTTATGTATTTCTTTCTATATTAAAATTAACTTCTAGTCTCATATTAATTATTTAAAAGCTAGTAATGTTGTGTTTATAATACTATATATATAATGTAGAATGACCTCGCGTGACATCACATAAGAGAGAAACATTTATATTCTGTTAAAGATCGATCATGTTAACGTTTAAAGTCACGTTTATTATTGATAGGTCAAAAATATAGAAATATATTTCTATGTTTTTGGATAGGTTCTGCAGCTTAAATATTTAACTTATAAAAACTTATTATAAACAAATAATTTATGTTTTAGTATTGCAACTTATCCTTTTACAATTAAAATCATGTTGGGTTACTTGTAAGAAATATTATATTAATATTTTGTTTCAACGCATTTCTTAAGATTTTTTTGCAAAATCGCTTAATATATTTATACAATCAAAGATGATAAAAATTTGAAATTCTCTTGAAATTTCTCAAAATTTCTCAAAATTTCTCAACATTTTTTAATATCCATTTAGTGCGACCCACTTTTATTTTTGCATTATATTTTTCTACTAATATTAAAAGTCAATATTAATCAATTATGTTTGTTTTATATAGAAAGTTATTGTTTATGAAAGTATATATTTTAGTATAAGTAATAATATTTTAATAATTTTTGTTTGTCAACAGTGGGAATATTATTTCTAAGTGGTAAGCTAGCTACCTGTCAAATACTCTTCCATATATATACCATAAATAGATATATTAATAGCGTTATAAAATACTCGTAATGAAATTAATCACAATATAGATTAAATTGTTTGTGGTTTTATTATTTTTTTTTATAAAACAATCAATAA